AATAAGAAACTTCATATTGATGTTACACATATCAACGAAGTGATAATTCAAAGAGTCATAATCTTCTTAGATTTCTATTTCTTTTAGGAGACTTATCAATATCAATCTCAATTCCACATAATTTGAGAATACCTCAATCTTACATAATATGAGATTTTCTGATGTGGGCGATTTTAGATAGCATCAAATTCAACAATCTTTCCCCAATCCTTATGTAAATATCTCCTCACAAAAATTGGCTGAAATTTGTTGTGATTGAATGGATCAACTAGGCATGTAATTGTACTTGTATGGTGGCGTTGATACATAATTATACATTTTTAGCATAAACCGAAAGAGTCATGCTACCGTTCAGAAAAGGAAATACGATTTGAGGAAATACAAGCTTGCAAAGGGTACTGGAAAGAAAATATTTGAAGGTGCATTTTGTTTTTGATAATGCTATAGCCTTTTATTGAACGTGTGCTCAAACAACATCAGATTACAAGCGAATAATTAAAGAACTGCAAATAAGTAAAGAGGGTAAAGCCACTCCATGCTTAGCAAGACTGTCGACGGCACCATTGGCTTCATGAAAGATATGGGAGAAAGAGAATCGCAGCCCCGGGAAGCATAAAGGTCATGAATTAATAACTAAAGGTCATGAAGAGACCAGGGAATCCGCTGCTCCGTTTGCACCATACCATTTAATGACATTAAGTGAGTTACCTTCAATAAGAATTTCTCCCATGAAGCCTACACCAATAATAATTTCCAATCCCTGCAGAAAAGAGCAAAATTCAGCTTGGTTAGCTGAAGTGTTTCCACAATGTCTAGCATATGAAAATAAAACCGTCCTTTCATGGTTTTGGAGCAAACCACCTGCAAGAGCTGGGGTCTCCAATGAGCTCCCAAAAAGTTCAGTTGGAGGGATCCTTCAAGGGGCAACTTCCATACCAAAAGAGGATGGCCAATATAGGAGAAGGATGAAGCAAGTGACTTTAAATTGACAAAAATGTCAAAACGTAAGATATGATGACCCTCAGAGGTTGTAGTAGCCAATCCCATAAAGACTGCAAGATGCGGTCTTTTACAACTTCAATCTCCAGAGAAATCCCATCAAAAGTTCTTTTATTTCGCTCCAACCAAATCTGCCGAAAATTGGTACTTCGAAAAACTTTCCAAATAAAAATACCTTTCTTAGGAAGACCCACATTAGAGAGATGGTTGATAACTGCAATTAAGTGCCCAGGCATTATAAAAAATAGACCCAATTTACTAAAAGCCCAGTGCTAAAGACTTGCAGTAAATTGACCGTGCAAAAATAAATGGCTACCTGTTTCTTTATCACCTTAATACATGAGGCAAATGTTTGGAAGAACTTTACCTCTTTTACGCAGCTTGTCAATAGTCAAACGTTTATCTTGCATGGTTACCCAAAGGAAAGCCTAAATTTTGAAAGGGATAGGCCATTTCCAAATAGAGCTAAGAGTGCAATTTGACCACCTAACCCGATCATCAAAGAGGAATCTGTGAGCAGATCTCACAGAAAATTGTCCGTCTTTTTCACTCTCCCAAATTATTTCATCTTCAAAAGAAGATGAAATATAGACTTTATCAAGGAGCTGTAAAAGATTCTGATACTGCGAAATGAAGCTATCAGGTAGCTTGTTATAAGCACGAGCAACATCCCAAACCCGACCCAATGTAGATGAAGAGCAGAGTTCAGAGATCTTAGCATATGGTAAAGTGACTCTAGCAAAAATATATGGGAATTGTTAGGAGACAGGTTAGTCACCCAACCACTTATTAAACCAGACGACAGTCTCCTCCCCATTTCCCACCATCCATCTAACATTGCTCAAGTTAATACTTGTACAACTAAAAATATCTTTCCATATTTGAGATGAAAATTTACCTCCGCTGCCTTTCTTGGTAGAATGGGAAATGGGATCAGAACCATATGTAGTTGTCATGACGTCCCCTTCCATAGATGATTCAAGTTCTGAATAATTCTCCACCATCATTTAGACAAAAGGTTACCCAATTCATGAGCTTCAATTTTTGGATACCCAATCCTCCCATTTTGACTGGTGTACAAATCTTGTCCCATCCCACCAAATGAAATTTCTTGCGGTTGTCATCAATTGACCCCCAAATGAAATTTTGCATATACATTTCTATTGTCTTTCCTACTTCACCTGGCATTTGTAAAATAAACATCAAGTAGATTGGCAAGTTAGCATAAGTGGATTTGACCAATATTAAACAGCCACCCAAAGACAAAGTTTTAGTTTTCTACATATCCAATTTACCGTAGTATTAAGAGGATCCCAAACTGCCCGAGGTAGTTTAGAATCAGAAATAGACACCCCAAGGTATTTAAGAGGGGAGTGGTCAACTTTACAAACAAGAATTAAGGCACGAGACTCCATGTGGTTGCTACAACATGAAATACCAACAATGGAGTTTTATCGAAGTTGACTCTGAGGCCAAGGGCTAACTGGTAGCAATATAGAAAGGTACGTAGAATCTTAATTTGGGTCTGATCTTCATCACAAAAGATTAAAGTGTCATCAACATATTGGAGGTGAGAAATAACTGGCCCATTGACAACAACTTGGAAACCTGTCATACAATCGTTCCTCACAATATTTTTAAGCATCATGTTGAAGCCTTCTTCCCTTAGAGTGAACAGAAAAGGAGATAGAGGTTCTCATTGTCTAATTTCCCTAAAAGCCTGAAAAAATCCTTTGGGGCTGCCGTTGATGAGCGCTAAAAAATGAGCCAAAGATAGACACCCAAAAATCCAAGAAATCCATTTTAAATCGAAACCCCCTTTCTCATAATTTGTTGTATCCAATCGACACTATCAAAGACCTTCTCCATATCTAGCTTTATAATCACAGCCATTTCACCTACCAACTTCTTCTAATGGATGCATTCTTGGGCAATAAGAATTCTATTTGTGATCATGCGAGCAGACTATTCATGTAAAACCACAAAAAGAAGGATAACTTTAAGACACTCGATAAGAACTTTGGCTATAATTTTGTACAGGCTAGATAATAGGCTTATAGGCCTAATATCGCCAATCTCTGCAATAATATCTTTTCTAGAAATCAATGAGATATACATCGAGTTAATGCCTTTGAGAATTACACTAGAACTCATAAATTCCTTCACTATCAGAAAATTTTCTTCTTTGACCAGATTCCAAAAAAGATGGAAGAACATTAGTGGAAAACCATCAAGGGGCCTTATACCCAGGAAGTGCGAACAATGCCTTTTTAATCTCTTCTGTATTGACTTCCTTTTCAAAGGAGACTTTTGAAAGGTACCCCATCCATAATAAGTCCAAGCTGAAAATCACTAGAGAAAGCTCTTTCGAAATGATTGATAATGGCATTGTCCTTACCATTGCCATCATCCTCCCTAACACCAGACATTCTCAAGGCAGAGATATCGGCCTTCTATGAGCATTGGCAGTTGCATGAAATAATTTTGTGTTCCTATCCCCTTTCTTGAGCCATTTGACACGGACTGTTGCTTCTAATAAATTTCTTTTAATATGAGATATTCATGCAGGTTATTGAGCAAGACATTCTTGTTGGTTAACTAGTCTTTCGCTATAGATTGGTTTTCTTGAATTGAGTTCTCCAATATCCATCGTCAATCTTACTTTTAAGCAGGTATCTAGTTTCTTTTGTCCAAGCTATTATTTTTTTCTCAAGGTAGATAATTTTTTTGTGAATACGGTACTCATAACTTCTGTGAACAAAACAACATGCCCATGTTTGTTTAATGATATCAATGACCTCAGGCTCTTCAAGCCAACCTATGTTCAAATGGAAAGGTTTGGGACCAGCAACCATCTCTTCAGTGTGCAAACAAATCGACAAATGGTCAAAGGAACGCTTGGTTAAAGCATTTACTTTGACAAGTGGAAAGGCATGTTCCCAATCTCCAGAGATAAGAAACTGGTCAAGCTTAGAAAGAATAAGTTGACTAGTACTATTGTTAGACCAAGTGAAATGAGCCCTACAGGAACTGGCTCAATGGTCAGGGTGGTGAGGCATCACAATGTCTTGAGTTCTTTTCCTACCACTAGAAAGGGATCATTTTCTATTGATCTACCCAAAAAAAAAAAAAGCGACGAGATGCGAGAGATACCTTGAAAATGAGAGGACACAATAAGTTATTTTCTGATTATTTTTTTGTTTTGTTTAAAGTGAAAGCCTACCTTACGCAATGAGATAATCAATTTCATATAACGTAATTGTGGGAGCTTCTTCACAAAGTCCAATTACTTACTGGCGTGATCACGATAGATGTTTGCACAAAAATAAAATTTTGTTAAAGTTCCATGTTGTTTCCCTCATAGCATTTATGTAAAAAGTCGAGTCAAAAGATTGTATAGTCCTGCGGGAGCATATCATCCATTGACTTCTTTTAATAGAACCCCATCTAGGGTATTTTGGGATCTCAATATATGTCCAAGGATATCAAATGGCCTCCTTTCATTCTTAAAATTTTATGTTTTTGCAAGTTTATGCAGGACACTCAGAATGATTTTCTCCTTTCCCAAGGTGGATAAGGTTACATACTCAATTTTTTTATTCCTAAAAGTGCTTCTAGATAGTGCTTTACCCGAGGGCGTAAATAGGCCATATGCTCCCTCAGGAGCATATGATTTAAAAAAGTTTTCTAATTAAACCCAAACAAGAAGGCCAACTGCCATAGAGGGGAAAATGGAGAGGAAGAAGGCATGAAGTATTTGGTCAAGATTCTTGTAAAAGATTCCTAGAGCAAAGAAAAGAATAGTGATGGGAAATTAGAGAGAGTTTCCTAATGGGCTTTTAGGGAAGGCAACATCCCCTTATAAATTATGAAGTGGAGAAACAAAATTCCTCATGTGTTGCAAGTATTGCAACGTTTTTGCTTCTATATGTCTTCATCTAACCCACTTTAATATCTCACTATTGAAAGGGGGATTAGGCTTTGAGGAAAGGCAAGAAGAGATGAAATGCAATAGTTCTCTATTAAGTGTTCTTGTGTGTTTGTGGTTAAGTGTAGCAGGTGCTAAGGCCCAATCAACAAATGTTAAGGTGGGGGTGGTTTTAGCAATGGATTCATGGGTGGGAAGAGTGGGCAATATGTGCATAAGCATGGCCGTACAAGATTTCTATAAAGAGAACCCAAACTACACCACTAGACTACTTCTTTCTACAAGAGATACGGGTGGAGATGTTGTCCAAGCTGCTTCAGCCGGTACTCTCTATCTCTCTCACACACATGGTAGTAATTCACGTGTTTGGATATTTATGATAATTCGAAGCATACCCCCTTCTTTTTGTAATGGTTAACTACGATTTCAACAAGGGATTGTCTACAAAAAGACCATTTATCTATTTTATATGGAGGTCATAATAATTTCCACTCATTATATGTCAAATTGGATGGCTGGGATAAGTAACATAGTATGAGACTTTTTTTTTTTTGGAGCTTTGTGTCAATTCAATTACACTCTTGCAACCACCCATTTTGAAAATTTAAGGGACAAGAATGAATGCGGCCTCCATGTGCAAAAGATAAATGGTTTTCTTGTAAACAATCCTTTTGAATTATTGATGAGTATCGCGTAGCGCTGCAACTTTATGGTATTTGGTACAGCCACACCTCATAACCCCGCCAAAAAATGAAGTTATGGTACCCAAAATCCTAGTGATGGCGAATCTATCTCCACCCGTAGCAATGGAACATGACATAAATAGTGCATATTTGCCTCAAAATAGACTGCACAAAAAATATGCTACAGTGCAGCCTATTTTTAAGGCGTGAAATGTCTTTTTTCCTTTCATTTTCATGCATGTGATTGTCCATTTATAGGCAGAAATTGCAAAGAAGGTCGGTCAACCATCTTTTTTTTTTTGTTTTTCTCAAAATTATCCCTGAGATTGAGGATAGCATCCTCGGTTTGAATTTTAATTTTAGTTTTTCATTAGTACGGTAGTGGCCCTAGCTTTAGGGATGTGCCCTACTATGAAAATACTAAAAAAAAATGAAAATTCCATTTAAGGATGCCCTGAGATCAAGGGGCAATTTTAACCGATCTTTGTAATTTCCACCTATAAATAGAGCATTTCATATTTTAGAAAAACATTTAGGGCCCAAATGTAAATTACTCTAAAAAGAAACCTCCAAAAAAACAACACGCACAAAAATAGGGGAAAAAAAAGAAAAAAAGAAATAAGATCACATAGACTTGTGTTACGATGGGAAAGGGGCAATTTGGGAGCAATATGTACTTTGATTTCGAATATAGAATGTTGAGCTTGACTTATCTTTTAACTTTGATTCTTATGTTTTACAGCTTTGGACCTGATGAAGAATGTGGAGGTGCAAGCTATAATCGGTCCACTAACATCAGCAGAGGCCAAATTTTCGGTTGATCTGGCGAACATCTCCCAAGTTCCCATTCTCTCTTTCTCTGCAACCTCTCCTTCTCTCTCCTCAACCAGCACTCCCTACTTTGTTAGAGCAACTCTCAATGATTCGGTGCAAGCCAAGCCCATCGCTGCTCTCTTCAAAGCCTATGGTTGGAGGCAAGCTGTAGTCATTTATGAAGATACCGAATTTGGAGAGGGATTCATTCCATATTTAAATGATGCCCTCTTAGAAGTCGGCTCTCGCCTTCAACATAGAACTGTTCTTCCTACCTCGGCTTCAAATGAGTTAATCAATGAGGAGCTCTACAAACTCATGACTATGCAAACTCGGGTTTTCATAGTCCATATGTCTTCTCCTATAGCTTCTCGCTTATTTTTACTGGTTCAACAACTCGGTATGTTGAGCAAAGACTACGCTTGGATTATAACTGATGGGCTATCTAGTCTCTTGGAATCCATGGACCCTTCGATCATAGCTTCAATGCAAGGGGTTTTGGGGGTGAAATCATACATAGAAAAGACTAAACGTTTGGCCAATTTCACAGCTAGGTGGAAGCAATATTATAAAGACGAATACCCAAATGAGATAGAAATCCCGGAGTTGAATGTTTTCGGTTTAAGAGCCTATGATGCCACTTGGGCTCTTGCTCTTGGAGTTGAGAAATCAGGCACAAGAGCCGTCAGGTTCCAGCAACCAATTGTCGGAAAAGCGTCAACAAATTCAACTGATCTCTCGACTCTACGAATTTCTCCAGTAGGTCTAAAACTCCTAAGTGCCATCTTAGACACCCAATTCATCGGCTTAACGGGCGATATCCACTTCATTAACGGAGAGCTCCAAGATTCCACTTTTCAAATAATCAGTATCGCAGGGAAAGGCACCAGAGAAATTGGGTTCTGGTCACCGAAATATGGCCTCTCACCCGACCTCAACCAAGAAACTCTAAAGAAGAAGAGTGGTTACACGGCTAGTGTGGTCGATCTCAGACCGGTGATATGGCCGGGAGAATCAACGGCTGTACCTAAAGGTTGGGTTATTCCAACAAATGGAGTTAAGATGAAGATTGGTGTTCCTGTAAAATATGCATTTAAGGAATTTGTTAATGTGGAGAGGGACCCAGGTGACAATAGACTGAGTGTGACAGGCTTTTCTATTGATGTTTTTGGTGCAGTCTTGGATGTTTTACCCTATGCCTTGCCTTATGAGTTTATTCCTTTTGAAGATGGTGACGGTAAAATGGCAGGGACATATAATGACATGGTCGATCAGGTTTTTCTTGGGGTAAGTAACACATTTGAGGTTCAAATAATACTAGTTTATCAAATTTACCTTAAAGGTGACCATATGAAATGTTGAATTATATAAATATGATCCATATGGTCATGAGAACATCATGTTCATGCGGGTCAATGGGTTGGACTACGATGTACCTTTTGCACAAAGCTAAAATAGTCATCAATCGATCTGTAGATGCTATTCTCCTCGAATCATGATTCAACCCATTGGTTAGAAAGTGAAAATCAACATGCTCATGCTATTATCATTTGGCTCTATGGATCACGTTTAAGTTAAAGTCATCATCATGAAAGCCTTTTCCTAAGTAATTGGGGTCGGCTAATATTTAAGTTTAAGGTGTCGCTGGATAATACAAGAAACCGACCGCTTTAGGGATCTAAAGAGCACCCAAAGTGGCTTGTAGGGCCAGACCTGCCTTCCTATGCAGGTAACTGATCATTTCTTAATGGTTTAAAAGATTAAAGTAATTTTACGTAGGACTTAAAAAAATAGAATGAATTAATTCTTGAGTCGGTCAACTTAGTTTGCCTAAGAATGCCTGAACCCTATCACTGAAAGCCTGGTTGACATTGTATAGATTTGTAATAAAGGAATAAAAATTAATCCCATGAATTAGAAAGTAAACGTCTTTTTCCTAATTAATGCACAAGTGGGTCACGTACCTATAAGGGCTTGCTTGGTTGGCTCTTTCTGTACTGAAAGCAGTCAAACTTGGTTGGTTTAAGGCAATGGTAAGGTTGCAACTAACAACACTTACATTGAATTTGTCGATCCTGAGCTTACCATAAACTATTTCTAAACCTTTACCAAAACTTGTACTTTCGAAGCATGGCTCTTCTATTAAAATTGGCTTGTATACCTTTTTTTGGGGGGTCTTTTATCTTGGCCTTAGTGATCGGCACATCAGTTTGGATGAGAGAGGTCAAAGGTTGGAACCAAGTTTGTTCCGAAAAGCCTAAACAAGTTAATTTAGCCTTTTTTTTTTTTTGTGCTGCAGATTTTACAGGCTTTTGCTTTTATCCTTTGCATTTTTATCTACCATCCTAAGTTAACTAGTCAGCTCCATCTCTTTACAAAACTTCTATTGCTCTTTAAGGGCCATTTAATATAGTTATCTCCTTTTGCCACAAAACTTTTCTTATGTGGACAACCCCAAACGTTGAAACATAAGGAAATTCATTTGTTGGGCTGTTTGGATAAAAAAAATTTCCCTTTGTAATCTTCATCCTTGTTACAACTCTTCCTTTTTGTTTTCTTTCATATCTTTTTGTTCTTAGACTTGCTTTCTTAGGGCATATTTTGATTTTACAAATTTCCTATGTTGTGATTCATGAATTTTCATCCAAATATTTTTTTCCTTGTTATTGTTATTTCATGTGACATATGTAGGCAATCATGTCTTAAGTAGCGTGACAGTATAATGGATTATTTCCTTTAAGCATAATTTTGTTTTTATTTATATGCATATATTGGTTGTTTGGGAACAGAAATATGACGCAGTGGTGGGAGATGTGACCATCATTGCGAATAGATCAAACTATGTTGACTTCACGCCACCTTACACAGAGTCAGGGGTGACTATGATAGTACCCATGAAGAAAGTGCAGAAAAGTAGAGCATGGGTGTTCTTGAAACCATTGACTTGGGAGCTATTGCTGACCACCACATGGTTCTTCTTCTTTCAGGCATTCATGGTTTGGTTTTTGGAGCACAGGATAAATGATGATTTTCGAGGGCCTCCAATGGAGCAAGTGGGCAGCGCTCTCTATTTCTCCTTCTCGATGCTTGTCTTCGCGCATCGTAAGTGCTCCTTATTCATTATTTCAATTTTGGAAGACGGAATATTTTAGTGAAAGAACTTGTTTTGGAAGAGATTTGAAAACTTATCCCATGAAAAGAATGGAGAGAGTGGGAACATTTGTCATGGGGTTTATTGTTTACGCATATTTTGTTTTGGAGGATCTCTCTTGAGAAAAACAAAAAAGTTGAATATCAATTTGGGCCATTCCCATTAGAAAAAGTTTACGACAGGTGATATTGCAATGATATAATAAGCTGCTGAAATTGTATTTACAGATAAGATGTGTGGGTGGCTCAACATCTTTCATACTTTACATAATCTCCCTCCATGAACTTTTATCTTCCTCTTATTTAGATTCTCCTTTAATACAACTTCGTTTGTATGATTTTGTTAGGAGTGACACTGAGCCGGCCGACCTAGCTCGTCCCAGTCAGCCTGGCTCTGAAAACCTAGTGCTTATTCCATAAGTATATGTCCGATGGGCTAGGTTGGGCTGGGCCTGGCTCTAGCTAGGGCCAATGCAGGCCTAACCCTGTATTTTCCCTTACTTTGCTTGATATCCAAGCCCAGCCCTGGCCTAGGACAGCACGCATTTGGCCCAGTCAGAGCTAGGTCAAGCTTGAGGCGGCCCTATAGGGACGTGGCTGGGCTTAGGCAGACTTATCCCAGGCCTTTCAAGTTGACAACCCTAAGTTTGGTAAGGACACGCAAATGCCAACATCATTTCACATGATAAGAATCATTTTGAATAAGCTGAAATCCATATATAAATCAAAAGGAAGAAGGAAACTTCACGTCTAAATAATCTTCGTAGTTAATCCAAAAAAAAAAATGAATAAATTGAATGTCTCTTAACATTCTAAAGTTGTTCTGCAGGTGATCAAATACAAAACAATTTGTCACGGTTCGTAATAATCCTTTGGCTATTCGTCGTGCTCATACTAAGTAATAATTATACAGCTAATTTGGCCTCAATTCTCACCGTTGAGCAGTTACAGCCCACCATTACAGATGTGCAATCATTGATTAAGAAACATGAATATGTGGGATACCAACGTAATTCTTTTGTTAAGGATCTTTTATTGAAGTGGGGATTCCCCGAATCGAAACTGAGAACATGTGGAACTGTCGATGAATATGCAAATGCCCTATCAATGGGAAGCTCTGGTGGTGGGGTTGCTGCCATCTTCGACGAGATCCCGAAAATCAAAGTGTTTCTTTCTCACTATCATGACAAATTCACGATGGCTGGGCCAATTTTTAGAACTGGGGGCTATGGCTTTGTAAGCTCTCTCTCTCTCTCTCTACCTGACACACTTAGACATAAACCCATGTGCACAATGACAGACACACAGATCTGTAATACTAACATAGTTGTTTAAAGGACACAAGTGATAGTTGTTTAAGTGGGGCTAACTAAACAAATTTTCATGTTATTAGAACTTTAATCTCTACTGTGCCTTACTGCAAGGGAGGGGCGATGGACCTAAAGCCTCATAAATCACCTAAGATTTGATTTGAGCAAAAAATAGATTGAAATTCTTGGACATTAACGTCTACTCAAAATGGACAACTTAGAACTGATTTTGGCGTGGAAATAGAGTTGGATCCTTTATGGATCCAAGTCAATTCGAGGGGGAGGCTATTAATTGGAGGTGGCAATGGATCATCTTTTTCTCTTCAGGAAACTTATTTTATAGAGGGCACGGTTTCTATGCGACAAGTTCGCATATTGTAGAAATACAGGTTTGGCAATAAATATATTTTCTAAATATAATTTGATCCTAATTTTTAGAGAATATGTATCTTTAACATAGAGATCATGAATATATATATATATATATAT